GAGAGAGAGGGAGGGAGAGAGAGAGAGAGAGAGAAAAAAGCGCGAATGCGAGCAGAAGCGAAACGAGCTGAGGACGTGGGAGGATGCAAATGCAAAGAGCCTTGAGTCGAATCCGCCGTAACTAGGATAGGTGCATAGGTGAATTCACACGTCTACATACATGGAGACGGATGATTCATTCACGCTCCATGTTCGATTAACTCGACCCGCCTAGTTAACAGATATGTTTCGTGATAAATGACAGGTAAGAGATTTTTCAACGACAATCGTACGTCGACACAAGTAAACTTTGTTGCATCATACCTTGGACAAGTATTATTAAGAAAAAATGAAATTAATTATGTATATTAATTATTTTTTATATGCAAGTTTATTCATTCGACCAATCAATCATACACGCATGCGCGCGCAAACGTGGACACACATTTGTCTTTCCGTTATATATGCACAATATAATGTGTCTTTTTTTAACGAAACGTAAACCTTGAAAGTTTAACAAAAATCTACTTTTGTCGCAGTGCTATTATTATTCATATGTATTCTTTCATAAGGTGAATTCTTCATCGCGAATAAATGAACGCGCGGTGCGATGTTTAATAAACATATAGTCGGTTGGTTAACGTGCTGCAGTAGTTGCAAGTCGAATGTAGGCTGGCTAATGTAAGCAACAGGTGGGCGTTTCTCTACCGAACGACGACTTCTCCCTCTTTACGGCCACTAGTTGTATAGCCAATTTTCCAAGCGTTTTACGCGTAATATACTATACGAGTTGACTTACAGTCGTCAGCTGGACAAAACCTACGTTTAGCTTTCATCCGTACGATTAATAAGATGAAGTCTCCATGACGAACATACATACGAAAGTAATAAATCGACAGAGATTTTTACATCTATCGATCTAGCTTGGAAAGCTCTTATTTCGAAGGCAGCGCCGTATATCTGTCTAATTTCGAGTCGCGTCAGCGACAGGGCCCCTACCGTTCATGTAAACATGATGCTGCCTCCACAAGTGCTGGTACTGGGTCCACCTGGAACTGGTGCTGTCGTCGTGGATGGGCGGTAGCGGCGGGTGCACTGGGTGGCCGTGCGGGGTCGGCGGCAGGGGTGGCGGCGGCGGTTGCTGGGATTGCTGTTGATGAGCCGGCGCGACCACGATGTGCGGATGCTGCGGCGGCTGCACCGGCTGCTGCTGATGCTGAGATTGGGGAGGATGATGCGCCTGGGCGTGCAGCACCCCGGCTGGTACCGGCGGCGGCGCCAATTGCTGATACTCCATCGCGCAGCTCATCCGATTACCTCACGCGCGCATCTAATTACTTCTCGCGGCACCCCCTTTCCCCCCCTTTCCCCCCTTGCCCTCCCCCGCCCGCGCCCGCAATGTCCAGCGCGGATAAGCGACGAGTCCTCCGTGAGATTCCTTTCACTTGTATCGGAGCGGACGACGCTCCGCTGCCGGGGGGGGGGGGATATTCGCGATGCGAGAAGCGAGACGATATCCGTGCGTCTTTCGGTGAGAGAATTTATTAATTATGCGATCGATTGTTCACCGAGGCCTCCGTTTCCGAATAGATTCGTTCTTTAGGAACGAGGCGCGTTGAATCGCGACAAATTTAGCATTTATCTCCGAATATCGAAAGCGAGAAGACTTGCGAAAGGTCTATTTTACGAATCTCGGTTCCGCACGCTCGATTGTGTATCTGTTTAATGAAATTATCCCCGCGAATTTTGGATACGAACGTTTCTCTTCGATCGGATGATCGTTATCGATCTTCCTGCTGTTATCGCCAAGAAAATCGACGCGCGAAGAAATCTTCCTTATTGCACTCACCAGTAGATCGGAAAAGGAAGGAAAAAACGAGATCGTAAGTCACCGAAAAAAAAATGCAATATTTCCAATGAATGGAGAAAAACACTTTGGCGAGCTCGCGAAGACGACGACCCGGACGGAAGGATTCACGCTCCGGAGGGCACTGCTCCGATTCCCGAATCCCGGACTCGAGTCGAATCGAATCACTAGTATACCAGTAAGTCCCAGTGCGCCGATTAAACCGCGAGCGCCGAGAGTAGCACAGTGTCGACTGTCAAAATCGCCGCTCGTCAGCGTCTATCCGTCGGCGCCGTGTGCCGATTGGAGCGTCGTCGTTGCCGGAAGCGGCGCTCCTATTGGTCCCGCTCCGTGCCCGGCGAGAGGAGGCAGGGCACGACGTGCTTCGACGTCGTCCTGGAGGTGAGCGCGGAGAGACAGCACGAGGAAAGACGCAACGAGGAAGATAGAGAGGAACGGAGATCCGGACGAGAAGTCGCGAGGAGAGAGCGAGAGGATCGCGTAGGGGGGGCGAGAAGGGAGGAGAGAGGGGGTGGAGAGAGGGAGAGAGGGAGGAAGAGGCTAGAGAAAGAGAGAAAGAGAGAGAGAAAGGGAGAGGGAAACTCGCGTGCGTGTCTCGAACGTGTGGCGTCCGGAAAGACACTGGAGTCGCGACTCGCAAGCGCCACGCCGTTTCGCCGCTGGAGAGGCTCCTTTCCTCTTTGTCGTACCCGCCGATGCTCCGTCTCGCTTTCCACCGCCCCGACATCCGCTTTTTCCCGCCCCCACCTCCCACTACACGTCTGAAACCTGACCCCACTCGCCGCGCAAAAGCGCGAGCGCGCGCACCGTCGTGCGCGCTGCCGCGGCCTCTTCCTCTTCTCCGGCTTTGCCAACGACGGCGTCTCTCTTTCCCCGCGAGAGCCAGCTCTATCGACGTCCCTGTTCCGTCCAGCCTCTAGGATCCGGGCCTAGTCCTCCTTCTCTTCTCGCTCGGAGAACGCCGGAGAACCGTCCTCTCGTCTATCTATCCGCTCGCCTGCTGCGCTCCGGCTGATCGCGCCGCACTTTTTCACTCCGCGTCTGCGGCTTTCCTTCCGTCTCTACTTATTTTATCGTTTCCTTCTCTCTCTTTCTCTCGATCTATCTCAATGCGCCTAGCTCCGGGTTTGCGCGGACGTTGAACAACAACGCGGGAGCTTTTACTCTCGATTCTGTTGCTACGCTCCGACTCGTCGGATCTTTGACGAATTTAATTATCACGCTCCGATCGTTTTTAAATATGTAGGTCGGCGTACCGCTTTTTCCCCTGCTATTTCTTCAATCTTCGTTCCGAACGTTCGTTTCTATGAGACGAGCTTGGGAAGCCGAGAACGTTTGTGTCTCGAGGAACGTGAGATTATTCAACGGTTAGCAAACATTTATATATCGATATTGTGTCTTTAAAGCTTTGACGTCATGCTCATCGTGTACAACTACTACTGAAGAGACAAGGAGGAGGGGAAAGAAAACTGTGTATTTATTTTCCCTTCCATGTAAATGCACTTCGCTCTATGAAATTGAAACGCTATCTCCTTGTCTCGGTATTTCGCCACTTTCGATTTTACTTGGCGAAGCATGGTTCGCACGGTTATCGTTAATTTCATAAGTCGGCCAATTGAAATATGTTGCAGAAAGTGTGTCATTTTATATGGAATGGGGAGATTTACTTTCCGCCATCCGCTCGTTTTCAGGCACTGTATTGTCGGTATACATGTTGATTAATGGTAGATAATTTACTTTTTTCCAAATTATATAATCTAAACCTATCATGTTATATTGTTACAATATATTCCAGCGTTATTTCGATAACGAGATTAATTTAACTAGATTATGAACACGCGTTACAAAATAGATACTGGAGCTAATTTATAAGGTACTTTGAATGTCTGGTTTGATGCAACAGAGAGTTTTATATTGGCATTTATCATTCATCCTCAAGATTTATTTAATGATGAAATCGAGAAGGAATCCTTTTAATTCCAGTAAAAAACAGCCGTTAATACTCTTTAATGTTGCGAGCGAAGACGAAGATATTTCGTGACGGCCATTATAACCCGCGAAAGCGTGTTTCGCTTTAGGTCAGGGCCATCAGGACCCGGCATTCGTGAGCAGGATCCGAAAAGGATCTCGCCATCTCTGTTCTACCTCCGACGAACGCGGAAGTTAGAAGTAGTTGAGCTGCTTCGGTGAAAGATGATGATAAAGAGAGATAAACATGAAGCGAGAAAAAAAGATGGGAGAAGCGAGCCGAAAAAAGAAAACGATGAGATGAAAGGTGTGTTCTCACGGGTTTTTTAATACGTCTAAACATTTTTAATTACGAAATATTCATCTACATTATACGTGCAAGAATCTAAGAAATTGTGTACAAAGTTCCATCTGAGGAGAGGCTGCAAAATAATTATTGAAAAATATTCGCAAATTTTTTTCACACGATATTATATTTTAACATCGCTTAATAAGGCTCTCTTCCGCTAGGGAAATTTTTAAACATCTAAACAGTGATTTTCCAATATTTTTTTCTAGTCGTTTGAAATTATGTTTATCGACCGATCATGCTGATCGCAGTTATTCCTTTTTCGTCGTACGCTAGGAGGAGAGAAAAAAAGAGAGTGCGGGAGGGCTCCACATAAGTTACGTAGTGAAGGCACGAGACTCTGAATCACCAAAACCGGTCTGGTAGACGCGATGCCTGTTGTGCGAACGCGGAAACCACGAGAGACCTGCGGACTCTCGCGAGTCACGGAAGGATTCCTTTCTCCTCTTCGCTCGCCGTAACTTCTTTTTGTGTCTCTTACCTCGTTTTTAGTTCTCTCTCATTCCCTCCCTTCCGCGTTTCGCTTCTCTTTCTTTCATTTGGAAACATCCGTCAGGTATTTGGCATTTTTTTATCACATAATTTTTCTTTATTATTAAATTATAATATTTATTATCATTGAATATTCATATGTTTTTTAAATACTGCAGATTCAAAGATAACTATGTCGTGAAGATTATTAAAAATTAAAAATGATAATTTCAGCAGTTTTTACAGTTTTGCGGTTTTAGAACGGTGTTTGATTGATTGTTGAATCAAGTTTTTACTTTTGTCGAATTGCAATTATTTTTCACCGAATAATTGATTGCGTGTAATTATTTTCTCCGCTTGTTTCAATTTTAAAAGTGTTTTTCATTGCTTTGTGCGCAGGGGATAGTCTCAACGTCCATATTTGTACGTTCTATCGGTTTGAGAGATCTTAATGCGAGCAAAGATGCCGCAGCTTTCTGGCTAAAGGTCGTTCGGGAACTGAAACGAGCAACCTGTTGATCCTGGACCCTTTCACTCGCATCTCCGATTCGTATTAGGAAAAAGATGGAGGGCATTGATTTATCCGACATTTCACAATTGGCGCGCTTTATCTCGATTAAAAGTTATCTTTGGATTTTTGCTCATATCAAAACAAATTATTCAATATTCATAATGTTGAGATCGCGAATGTTAATCAACAATTTTCGGTTTCGATTTCCAATCTCGAGATAATCGCGCGTTTCGCAATCTGGTTGAAATAGCGTCTCGGGATCGAATCAGAACCGGTCACTTTAGGACCGGGCCAGACGTGAAAACGAAACTTTCGGCGGCTTACTTTCTCCTAGGCACTTCCTCCTCCATCTCGTCGTTTCAGAATTAAACGTGGGTTCGCCCTCTCGATTGCTGCATTTTTTTTTCGAGAGGATGCCTTATTTTCGTTTTTCGGTCAATACTTTATTAATCGCGAAAAACGGAATCGGTGAAAAAAAACGTGATTTCTATTCGAACGTATTAATTAATTAACTTGGCTATATTATTTCTGATTGAAATATAAATATTTTTCATACAAAAGATGAAAAAATTCCATAATATTTACTCAGCAACAATCTAGCAATAATTAACAACGTTTTCTTTTCTTAACGGTGAATAATTATAGGCATGAATAATTATAGACTAATGTTGCATTACTAATGCTGCAATCTAAAGTTACATATATTTTTTTTGCTAATCAAGCGTGCGATGCTTTTTTCCTACTTGAAGAGTTTTCAATTTGCAAATGTAAAACAAGCGTGTTTATCTGTTTGTAAAATAAAGCAAAATGAGAACGCGTATCTTGAAAAGATTTTTCCTAACGATTGTCGTATTGTACACTATAATCACCTCGATCATGAATATTAATATTTATATCGCGCTGATACATTTGCATAGACAATCTCGAAAAAAATTTTTTTTTTGTTAAATAATTTTTTGTCTCAATACGTACCGTTTAATTTACGATCGCAGAGTATGTGCATATGTAAAACAGAATATCGATTATCGAGGTAAGATCATCGCGTCTAAGGAGTGGTATTTCAAGAGAATCGAGATTTTCATCGATTGATTCGCAAAGAACAAGAAGCGAGAAGCCCGTGGTACGAATCATGAACCTGGAAGTGGCAGCGCGTTTATTAATTATTACCTTTCGGTAAATACCGTTTGCGGTACTTTCGTTCGCGACCTTTCGCACACGCGAATGCAACACGTACGTGACAGGGACTCGAATGGGATTCTGGCAATAATTTCGCATCCGTTCGACACTTATCACGCACACTCTCAGCCGCCGTCTCAGTCGCACGTGTACGTGAGGGCCAGCACGTATTCATTAGCGTTCGGATTGATTGCCGGTACCGCGAGTGTAGTCGATACGGCGGGCCCGTCCGATATGAACACACATGTACATATTTGTGCATCCCGAAAACTTCCGCGATCGTTTCCCATTTCGCTTGAACCATTTCTTGCGTATTTCTTGCCGAGATTAAAACAAAAAGATTAAAAATTCCAAACGAGATGCATAATTGTTTTTCCAGAAAAATATCAAGATAATCGTGTACTTGAAATATATGCAGAATTTTTTATCTATAATTAATTGTGCGGTTTTAAAGCGTATTACATGAAAACATTTAAGTATTTTCGGATTTTCTGTATCTACAAAATAGAGATATCTTTTTCATACGTGTACGATTAACATATAACTGATGAATTTTCGCGCGGTATATTTACTCCAAATAAATATTGACTAAATTATCTCTATCAATTTTGTGGAGACGTGGTACATTCAAGCAACGCTTGATTATTTATTATATAAACGATTTATCATTTATCATTTTATTTGTTAATCTCTTGGCACGTGCTTTCAGCACGTCGTCATCGCTTCGGAAAGCATAGCGGCCGCGTTGAAATACACGTATAGCTTTTATAATCTTTTTGACATAAACGTTTCGCAATGCCGCTAACATCTGCTTGTCAGCTGTTAATTGCGCCGAACTAGAAGCCGGTAGATCAAAAGGACGCGCGTAAGATCCTAGACGACGCCGAAATAGATCCGCTCGATTTTCGTAGCCGCGATGTACACGCATATTCGATATACATAATAATTTGCTAGAAACAATTGCGATTAGCAACGCAACACATGCGCAAATAATCCATAGACCCGCGGACGGTGTACTTTTGATAACTATCAACGCGTACATAAGATAATAATTAGCGTTAAGTAATAAATATTATATCGATTGTGTTTCTTCTGTATGAATTGTCATGAGAAAAGTACTTTGATTAAAGGTATAATGAAAGGAGTTCATAATATATGTATTAAGACTAGAAATGCAAA